TAATGAATACTTATGCTTATATAAGCTTTGCACTACAAGATGTCTTTAAAAATGGTCCAAGTATTAGAATACAAACCTGAAATGTATATATGTATCAATGTTAATTTTTCTTCATTAGTAAGCAATTGCAAAGAACAATTGAACCTTGCACTTTATGAAATTGTAATTGTAAATTAACTATATCTCTATTCTAAGAATTTTTTGTTTTTGATTTTTTTTACAAAAATAAAAATGTACAGGAGAAGATAAAATGCTGCATTCTCCCAGATAAAGTTGTAACATTATTCTTCAAGAACAGGGATGATACTGTTAGATACTAAATTATTTCTCTTTGGGTTGAGATTGATTTGAGCCAAAATGTGTCTACTCTATAAAAGAATATTCTTTGTGCTACATTAGCAACTCAGTATAGATTAATCAAGTGACTGTTCTATGAAATATACTATACTGAATTCCACAGACCTAAAAAAGTCACTAACTATGGTATACTCCCTTTTTAAAAGGAGCAAAATTCTAAAACCTGAAAAATATCAAAAAGCGAAAAATGATATGTGTAGACACGGCAGCTGCCAGTTACAGGAATGACAGGTTATAATGACTCAGATCACCATACGCTTTGTAACTGCAAAATTACTTCCTTATGAAGCATCACAAACTTTAACCTCGAAGATTCAGCAGAATCTCAACAGATAGGGACAGAGAAAACATGGAAGGGTATCAGGGCCATAAAAACAGGAATCTACACTGACCCCTGCCTCAGCTAGTTGCTTCCATGGGATACAATTTTAATACACAAGATACAAATATCAAAATCTTTCCCAGACCCTACTTTCTATTCAAAGCTAGAGTATAAAAATCTGGAATAAGGAAGAAAAGACTGCAGCCACGTGGTTTTCATAATATTTGATGGTGTTCAAGAACATACAGACTAGATATTCAATTCTTTTGAGACCCGCTGTAGCCCAAATCAGCCTTTTGCTTACCTACTGTGTAAATCCAGTGGATAAAGTTTAGGGTTCCTCTACCTATGATGCATCTTGGAAAACCCAGCTGGACTGGGAACTGTTGTCCACCAAAGAGAACAGGAGTTTTCTGGGCTGGGAATAAACTGTTGCTGCACTGTGAGGTCCCTCTCCACATCCCGCTAATCATACACATGTATAGCTGAAGTGCAATGTCGCATAGCAATCATGAGTATGGAGAATTCCTCATGTAAAAATAAAAATGAGAAGACTCACATAGGACAAAAAGCTACATCACAGTTCTAATCTACCGTGCCAACTTTGCTAGAAGGTCTTCATCTTAAAAAATGTAAGCCTCTCAATTAAAAGAACTATTTATGTCCCCATCACATTGGAAGAAAAACCTGCAAGAGCAGACTAGGATGGAAATTTGGAGCCCCATGTATGAAGTACTACTATTCAGTCACTATTCATAAGAATGAAAAATTGCCATTTGCAGTAAATTGTGCATAATTGGGAGATATTAACTTAAACAGACCAGCACAGAGAAAAAAATTGCTGCACATAATCTCATCTATTGAAGGAAATAATTCCACCTAAGTGCGTCCTCATGATTCACACCAGAGAGGAAGGGTTAGAAAGGGTGGGTACAAGGTGGCTATAGTTGAGCCCTGTGTGTGGTGAGGGCTTCTATAGAGCTATTTCCTGAGATATCAGTAACACAGACAGTTTATACAGGTTAACAAAGGTCCCCAAGTTACAACAACAAAGAGAAAGGCCACCAACAATCGGGAAAGCATCCAGAAAGGGGAAGAAAATCAAATTTATCATCTAGAAGCAACAGAAATCCTCAACATTAATATGCAATGGTAGAAACAGAAAATATTAAATCACAACCTACAAAATGTAATTGAAAGTCATTTGCCCAAATTTGTTTCCATTCTTGTATTTTATTTTTTTATCATCATACCCAGGTAGATGCTTCACTGACTATCTTAGTGCACTGTTGCTGTGAAAGGACACAGCATAAGCAGGGCAACTCTAAGAAAGGAAAGCATTTAATTGGAGCTAGCTTATTCCTTCAGAAGTTTAATCCTTTATCACCATTTTGGTGGGAACTAGGACAGCAGGCAGACAGACATGGTGCTGGAGAAAGAGCTGATGGCTGACCGTCCAGATTCACAGGCAGCAGAATGAGACAGATACTGGACCTAGCTGGGCCTTTGAAACCTTGAAGCCCACCACCAGTGACACACTTCCTCCAACAAGGCCAATCTAATCTTTTCTAATAGTGTCACTTTCTGGTGACTAATATTCAAATATTTGAGCATATTGGGGGACCTAATTATTCAAGCCACCACATTGGCCTTCATCAGCAATATATTAACTTCAAGAAAGCTAAGAGGTAATAAATCAAAATGTTACCGTAATTTATTGTACATCAGAAACAACATGAATAATCTTGAAGGCAAAAATATTGTCTTTAAATTTTAAGCTAATTATTTTCTAAAGAATATTTATACCTTAAAAGCAAAAAAAAAAAAAAAACAACAACAAACAAACCTGTCTTTTCTCAGAAAATCATGTAAAACCAGTATTAAAGTCTGACTATTATTGATATGATAGCTTATCTATGTTTCAATTTGCAAATGGTTTAATAATATGTGTATATATAGTATGCAAATCAGTTATTGAAACATCTTGATCATTTATATGTTATATACATATATATGTCTATAGAATATATAATGATATATTATGATATAATATATGTGTATATAATATATATACATGTATTTGCATATAATATACAAATGGACAAGATGTCAGCAATTTGCAAATTAGTGGGTAAAGGACAGGTGAGTTTCTGTTATGTTATCATTTTTACCTCTTTTTACAATTTAATTTTTTCATCTTCTTCTCCCCCCCCCCAAAAAAAAAATCTAAGTTAGGGAGCAAATGGAATATAAAAGAAATAGAAGGAAGAAAAAGATTTTCTCAAGTATCCCTCAGTAAAAAATACTGAGGATAAAAAGATGAAACCCAGAAAAAGGAAAACCTGTTGTAAGGGATCTATGGTCTTAGAAGCCAGGTATGGTAGATGGTGAAGCAGAAGGGATTTCGGCGAGTTTGAGGCCAGTGAGGCTACATAAAGAAGCTAGGAGAACTCATCGCCTTTTAGGCCTAGGAGCCATCTCTGTGAGCCAGAGTGCAATGAGATAATATAGGAAAGAGCTGAAAGAGAACTGCTCATTGGGAAAAAAGAGAGAAAGAGAAAAGTAATGTCTGCCACTTTGTTGCCACAATTTTAAAATAATTCACTTGTAATTTCTTTGTTTTATTATAAATGATTTTTAATTGCAAAATTTATTTTACGAATACTACTCTGAAGGTAAGTTTGGCATATTTCATTTAAAAAAAATTAAAGAGTAGCTAAATTGGAATATTTAAATAATTACATGGAAGAACTCTTATATTTTACTCAAAAATGTGATGACATCAAAATGAATGAGACAGTTAAAGACTCAGAGGCTAGACTCAGAATATGTTATGTATGAATAATAACACCAAATAAAAAACTGGATGGAATTAAGGAAAAAGTAAATTTTTAAAAATTATAAGTAAATCCTCCAGTGATAAAATATTAGCTTTCGGATTACTTGGTTTCAAACATTTATTCAACATGAGTGTGAAAATTTTAACAACTTGAAATTTTCACTTTTAATGTCTGGTACAAGGCAGTAGAGACTGGTACATCTCCAGAGTGAAGTAAAGGTAGAAAGTGGTAAGGTAGGGTACAAGGATGGTGTTTTGTTTTGCTTTGTTTTGTTTTGTTTTGTTTTGTTTTGGGGGGGGCGTTGCTCCAGCAAAGATCTAGAGTCAGACCTAAGGAGTAGTCAAGACGAATGGATTCAAAGTCAGTTACTACAAAGGGAAATAAAACTGAATCACTCACAGAGTGATAGCTGCAGCATGTAATTGCTAGCTTGCTTGCACGCTCTAGAATGACAAATCTCCAGTCATTTGTCAGTGTAATTTAATCAAACTTGGCACACAGCATTACTTACAAGATTTAAAAACAACAAAGTTTATAACAAAGTAAAAGTACTTTAACCATACTCTCCTTTTTCTCTTTCTTTTTGTTTATTTATTCTTTTATTCACTTACCTTTTTAGTAATGACTTCACTTTCCCCCGCTGAAACCTGATCACAATTTAAGGGTCCTGTACTTTTCTTTTCTGTGTTACTATGATGGTCATTAGGAGAAAACAATACTTTGAATGGTATTGCCACCAATACTTCATGCCACTATTAGGCTAGTGTTCCTAGATACCCATAATTTGTTTTTCTCCGACTTACTCGTTGGTAATTCTGTCTATGTATGTATGTGTATTTGTGTGTGGGTGTGTGCACATGAGTACAGGTACCTACTGAGGCCAGAAGAGGGTGCCAGAGCCCGTGGAAGTTGTGTTATGCCCAATGTGGATGCTGCGATCTGAACATAGAGTCCTCTGCAAGAAGTGCTATCTCTTTGTAGCTCCCACACATAATATTTTGGAAAGGAAGAATTACATTTAATTTCTTAACTGGTCTTTATTACATATCAAAATTGTAAATAGATCTTATGACAGGCATTTCTGTGTTCTAGATAGGCTGAGAGTTTAATAACAAGTATTAAACATTTTCTATGTATATAGTTCATATATATATATATATATATATATATATATATATATATATATATATAGTATATGAGCAAATGTATTTAGCTCATATTCTTTTCCCTCTCCTAACTCCTCCTCCTCCTTACTCACCCAACTCCATATTCTTTCTTTCTCTTAAAAAAACACAGAAAATCATAAAAGGGAAATAAAAAACCTATTGCTTTATTTAAGATGGTATAGAAACTGTAAATATATTCAAACATAACCAAGCATGGGAATTAACCCATGCATATGTGACATAAATTCTTAGAAAACAAAAACAAATAAAAGCAGACTGATATGTAAAAAGTTACTGTATGTCTTTATATTTCAGGGGTATGATGATGGCTATGGAGGAGAGTATGATGACCAGACCTATGAGGTTTATGATAACAGCTACATGACCCCAACACAAAGGTGAGGCTTTTGCTGGCTAGCTATATTCCCAGGTATATGCTCTCTGCCCTATTCTGTATTATGCACGTGAATTATAGCTATACTATGTGAGGGCTTCAAGCAGTTGGTCTAACCTCCATTACCTTCCTAAATTATTAAATTGCTTACTAGACCACAAGAGGTAAAATATGGTAACACTATAAGTGCCACAAGGAAACAATAGTGTGTAACTTGAGACAGGGTGATTATTATACCAACAAACTCATTAAGGAATATTATACTTAACTAAGCACCACTGTTTATAGAAATTATTTTAATGAACTTCTAATTTAATTAACAAAGCAGCCACTCATTCGATGTGGCTTTTTTGTTTAAATGAATTCATAATTGTTATTTGTAAAGCAAATCACAAAGAAATGCTATTGACAAGCTGAAAATAGGCAATTGGAAAATATCTCCTGAAATTTTAAAAAAAAAAATTCCTCTTTTCATCAGTATCTGTAAATTGTTGAATATCTTCTTATATTGACTTAGAATCAGTAATGTTGATAAATTTGTTCTACTTGAAAGTCAATTTTTTTTTTGAGATATTGCTTCTAAAAGATAACATTACCCATTTAGGGTCCCCTTGTAAGAGGCTCACAAATGTCAGCTACAGTGTAACCAGCTACATAAATAACATGTATGTACAAAATTCCATCAGCCCAAAAGTTTCTCTTTGTAATGATGATTTTTAATCATAAAATTTTGCCTCTTCCTTCATACCCTATGGAATTCACAATTTGGTTCTATTGCTGCACACTTGGCTCTTCTACAATGTCATATAAAATACAGTACAGCAGCCTGTTTTCTTTTTCTCATGAATATTAATATGTGTTTATTACACGGATTAATGAGATTCACTGTGACATTCCCACCGATGCACTTATCATGTCAATTTATGGTTCTACCTTCTGCCCTCTTTCTTTTTCCTTCCTCCCTTTCTGGTCCGTTTCCAAGACACGATAGACCCTCTTTCACTTTCGAGGCCTTTTTGTTGTTATTTCAGTTTCTACATATAACAGAAATAAGCAATATTTTCTATGAGCCTGGATTATTGCATGATGATCTCTATTTCCATTCATTTTCTTGCATGTGGCAGGGTTTCATTCTTCTTTGTAGTAAAATAAGACTCTGATGTATATGTATATACATATACATTTTTATCTATTGTTTTTGTTATGGTTACTATTGATATGATGAAACACCATAACCGAAAGGAAGTTGAAGATGAAAGGGTTTATTGGGCTTATACTTCCACAGCAGTTACTATTACTGAAGGAAGTCAGGGCAGGAAGTCAAGCAAGGCTGGCACTTGGAGGCAGGAAATGAAGCAGAGGCCATGGAGTGAGGCAAGTATGCTGCTTACTGGCTTGCTCTCCTGGTTTGCTCAACTACTTGGTTACAAAATCCAGGATCACGGGCCCAGGAATGCTCCCACCCACAATAAACTGGGTCCTCCCCCATCAATCACCAATTGAGAAAATGACCTACAGCCCATCTTATGGAGATATTTTCCCAATTGAGGTTCTCTCCTTACAGATGACTTTTGCATCACTTAACTATAGTAAATAAGCCCACCCACAGCCAACACGAGCAGGCAGGTATCACTTTCTCATGTTGGTTTTATTTGCTTTACATATGTATCCAGGTGTGGTACTGCTAACATATATGACGGCTGTGCTTTTAGATTCTAATGGTTCACTATACAGTTTTCAGTACTATTTTCAATTTCCTTCATCCAGGCATATGGGTTCCCTTTGCTTTGAAACCTTGCTAGGATGTTTTGTCTTTTTTTTTTTTTTCGATAATTCTCATTCTCACTGATGTGAAGTGGATTTCAACTTAATACTGATTGCCATCTCCTTGATGACTAAGACTACAGGATATTGTTTTCTTATATTTATTGCTCGTTTGCATTTCTTCCTTCTTTTTATAAAAAGTGTTTATCAAAATAATTTGTACTTTTTTAAGATTATTTGTATTTTGACCTCTTGTCCTCATCTGGATATTGAGTATCTGTCAAATGAAAGAAAAACAAAAAAACAAGTTTTTATTTTGACAAAATCTTGTTTCCAAATTCTAGATTTTTTTTTTTTCTATTAATTTTTGAGTTGTATCCCAAAACTCACTGCCTGTGCGGGATTCACGAAGTGAATATCACTGATTTTGTCTGAAAGTGTTAGTTTCAAGTCTTACATTAATACTCTTTGTCATAGGGTTTCTATTGTTCTGAAGAAACAACATGACCAAGACAACTCTTTTTTTTTTTTTTTAATTAATTGATTGGTTGGTTTGTTTATTCACGTTACATCCCAATTGTAGGCCCTTCTTTCCTCTTTCCTCTCCTACTGGTACCACCCTTCCTCCCTCTTCCCCCTGTCCACTCTTCTTTACCCCTCAGAAAAGGGGAGCTTCCCTTCCCCCAATCAACCCCAGCACATGAAACCACATCAGGACTGAGTGCATCAATGATGACCTGGCAAGGCATCCGTGGTAGGGGAAGTTATCAAAAATCAGACAACAGAGTCCTTCACAGAGATAGCCCCCTATCCCCTTACTAGTGAACCCACATAAAAACCCAGCTGCCCATCAGTTACATCTGTGTAGGAGGCCTAGCTCCAGCCTACGCATAGTTCTTGGTTGGTGCTACAGTCTCTGCAACCCAAAATGGGCCCTGATCAGTTGTCTCTGTTAGTTTCTTTTGGAGTTCTTGTCCTCTCCAGGTATTTCTATACCTCTCCCACCACTCCCAACACACTCTTTCACAAGGTTCTCTGTGCTATGCCCCATGTTTGGCTGTGAGTCTTAGAATCTGTTTTGATCCCTTGCAGGGTGGAGCCTCTCAGAGGACAACTACGCTAGGCTCTCATCTGCAAGCACAGCAGAGTGTCTGTAATAGTTTCAGGGGTTGTCTCTCCCCCATGGTGTGGGTCTCAGTTGGGCCAGGCATTGGTTGGGCATTCCCTTAATCTCTGCTCTATCTTTATCCCTGCAAATCCTATAGGCAGGATAAATTTTAGGTTGAAGTTTTTGAGGATGGGTTTGTGTTCTTCTCCCTCCATTAGGTGTCCTGTCTGGTTAAAGGAGGCCCTCTTCAATCTCTATGATCCCCCACTACTAGGTTTCTCAGATAGAGTTACCTCCATATCCTCCCTAGAGCCTACCCTGTCATGGGACTCCAGCTTGTCTCAGAAATGCCCCTGCTCATGGTTTCTCTTCTCTCGGCAAGCTCTTTGTCATCCCGTCTCCACTCTCCCCACATATGATTCCCACCCTCATTTCTCTCCATACCCCCTCTCCTATCCCATGCTTCAGCCACTACCAATGTCTATTTTATTTCCCCTTCTGAGTGAGAGTCAAAAATCCTCCCTTGGTCCTTCTTGGTTACTTAGCTTCTTTGGGTTTGCGAATCGTAGCATGGTTATCCTATGGTGTATGGCTAATATCCACTTATAAGTGAATAAACACCATGCGTGTTTTTCTGGGTCTGGGTTACCTCACTCAGGATGATCGCTTTCTAGTTTCATCCATTTGCCTGCAAGTTTCATGATTTCCTTGTTTTTAATAGATGAGTTGTAAATATGTACCACAGTTTTTGTTTGTTTGTTTGTTTGTTTGTTTGTTTTAATTCTTTGGTTGAGGGAAATCTAGGTGGTTTCCAGATTCCAGCTATTACAATTAAAACTGTGATGAACATAGTTGAGCAAATATCCTTGTTCTATGGTGAAGCATCTTTTGGGTATATGCCCTAGAGTAGTATAGCTGGGTCTTGAGGTAGAGGTATTCCCAACTTTCTAAGAAAGCACCAGATTGATTTCCAAAGTGGTTGTACACTTTTAGGTTTGCACTCCTACCTGCAATAGAGGAGTGTTCCTCTTTGTCTATATTCTCGCCACTATGGGCTATCACTGAACTTTTGATTTTAGCCATTCTGCCTAATGAGTGTAAGATGGAATCTGAGAGTCATTTTGATTTGCATTTCTCTGATGACTAATGATGCCAAACATTTCTTTAAGTGCTTCTCAACCATTAAAGATTCCTCTGTTGAGAATTCTCTGTTTAGCTCGATACCTAATTTTTTTAAGTTGGATTATTTAGTTTGTTGGAGTTTAATTTCTTGAGTTCTTTGTATATTTTAGATATTAGCCCTCCAGTAGTTGCAGGGTTGGTGAAGAACTTTTCCCAGTCTGTAGGCTACAGTTTATTCTGTTGACAATGTCATTTGCCATACAGAACATTTTCAAGTTCATGAGGTCCCCTTATTGATCTAAGAGGCTGAGCTGCAGCTGTTATGTTCAGGAAGTGAGCTCAAAGCTGATTTCCACTTTCTCTTCTAAAGTTTTAGTGTTTCCAGTTTTATGTTGAAGTCTTTGATCCACTTGGACTTCAGTTTTATGCAGAATGATCAATATAGTTCTTTTTTTATTATTAGTTACATTTTATTAACTCTGTATCCCAGCTATATCCCGCTCCCTCATTCCCTCCCAAACTCACCCTTCCTCCTTCATCTCCTCCCTGCCCCTTTCCAAGTCCATTGATTGGGGAGGACCTCCTCACCTTTCATCTGACCCTGTTTTATCAGGTACTGGCTGCAAAGTCCTCCTCTGTGGCCTAGCAGGACTGCTCCTCCTTTGGGGGGGTGGGGAGATTAAAGAGCCTGCCATTGAGTTCATGTCAGAAATAGTCCTTGTTCCCTTTACTATGGGAAACCAATTGGTTACTGAGCTACCACGGCTTCATCTGAGCAGAGGTTCTAAGTTATATCCATACATGGTTCTTGGTGGAGTGTCAGTCTCAGAAAAGACCCCTGTGCCTGATATATTTGGTCCTTGTGGAGCTCTTATACTTTCCATGTCATACTAACTCCCCTTCTTTCATATGATTTCCTGTACTCTGCCGAAGGTTTGGTTATGAGTCTTAGTTTCTGCTTTGAAACACTGCTAGGTAGAGTCTTTCAGATGCCTTCTGTGGTAGGCTCC